TCTCTCTCTCTCTCTCTCTCTCTCTCTCTCTCTCTCTCCCTCCCCACCCCCCTGTTCAAATACACACGTTCATTCTGTCAAACACACATAAACACACGCATAAAGACTTGCACTGACGCTTATCCTCCCAATACACACGAGTGAAGATTTTGAAAAAAGAATGCCATATTAAACAGAGTGGATCTCACCTCTTGTAGTTCATCTGTAAGCTGCAAGAGACAAAATAAGAATAGCCTGAACAGAGATGATGTCCCCAGTGGTATAATGGCAACGTACTCCCCCGGACAAGCAAAAGACGCAAGTTCGAGTTCTTTGCGGGGAAAGCAGTCATATCTGCTTTAACGGCTACCTGTCCAAAATAATCACCTAATATACAATCACCTCCCACTCCCCACAACAACATCAGCGCCACAGCAAAAAAGCCAACACTAACCCCAACACCATCACCACTATCATTACCAAAATCAACAACAACAGTTACAACAACATCTCCACGATCAGCTACAACAACAGCATCACCACAAACAACAACAACACGAATGTCGCAACAAAAATGCCAGCAACAGCAACTGCAGCAGCAGCATCACCCCCAATTACTTGTGCAACAATAACATTTGAGTAAAAACAAGTATTATGTCCATATCATAACAGTGATTTAACGCAGGAAAAGCTACATAGACAGACAGAAGCGACTGAGGGAACGAAGAGAAATATGATCTACTTTGTCGTTCCCTCAAGCCATCTGCTACAACAACAGCAACAGCAATAACAAACAACACCACCATCATAAACAACAACAACCCCCCCCTATCCCCAATCCCCAATTCATCCACGTGACGCACGTGATTTAAACCATACACATCACCCCAGTCAGTCACACATACCACACAGGCTATACACGTAACACACATCACACATACCTGAACTTGTTCTGGATCTCGATTCTGCAGCAAAATTCTTTTGTAATCTTTGAGAAACGTGGTCAGGGCGAACTTCAGCTGAAAATTAAAAACATATTTTAAAATGTGGAAACGTGGTAAGGGCAGGGGTGAAGCGTCTATATAATCAAATAATCACTGCTTCCCTTCCTAATTTTGAAACATTGTCGCGGTCAAATTCATCCATAAACGTAAACCTTAAATTAAATGTAAAAAGACGTTCGTAATCAACAGTGAACAGTATGCCTAACGTTCAAAACGGTTTCACGGCCACAGAAATAGCCTCCCCACCCCTCTCGGGCCACTCCATAAGCAGTCGCAAGCTTTGATTAAGTAAGCTTAAAGTGAGGCTGGAAGAGTC